AGAGAGAGAGAGAGAGAGAGAGAGAGAGAGAGAGAGAGAGAGAGAGAGAGAGAGAGAGAGAGAGAGAGAGAGAGAGAGAGAGCACGGTCAATTGACGCAGTAAGCCTTGAAGAATGATGCCCAAGCTTTGGACATAGGTGGAAATAATGTTGAGATCATCCATATATCCATCAATGCGACAACGTCAATATCCGAACTGTGCGGAGGATGCAACTCACTACCTCCCATGATGTTCGTTTACCTATCCCCTGTCCCGATAGCCAATCTGTCTGTCTGTCTGTCTGTCTGTTGGCCCTTTCTGCCGGAACCCCGTAGCAGAGATCTGCATATCCCAGTCCCACTCTCCTTTCAGTCTCTGTACGTCATTCTTCTCCCTTGGACTAGCCAGTGGTGAAGGTGTCTGGCTGCTTAGCCCAAGATCACCGGTTCAATTCCCCGCATGTTCGATTCTGGCGCTGATCCCTTCCTTGCCGCCCCTTACCGTCTCCTGTCATTGTGCTCCTTTGTCCTTATAAAATCAGGTGCCTCTGTTTCTAGAACTAACATCGTCAGCCTCTGCCACTTCTTCATGTGTACACAGCGGACCAACACAACCCACTGCTGCAATGCAACAGAAGCCGGAGGCTTTAACTCCGGCAGGCAGGAAAACTTTGTCCTTACAAAATTAGGTGCCTCCGTTTCTAGAGTCAACTCCTTCAGCCTCTGCCACTTCTTACTGCGTACACAGCAGACAATTGACTGTGTAACAGTCGTGTCGTCAACTGCGGCTCGCCCGTCATCGTTTTCCGCCCTGTCATTTGCGGCCCCCGCTTGTGAAGGCCCGGCCGTCGTCGTTTTCTGCCTTGTCGTTTGCGGCCCCCGCTCGCGAAAGAGAGAAAAAAGTCGCGGCCCGGCCGTCGTCGTTTTCCGCCCTGTCGTTTGGGGCCCCCGCCCATGAAAGAGAGGAAAAAGTCGCGGCCTGGCCGTCGTCGTTTTCCGCCCTTTCGAAAATGACATTTCGTTTCGCGAGAAAAGTCGACCCACTGCTGCGATGCGACAAAAGCTGGAGGCCGGAACTCAGGCAGGCGGAAAAAATTCCACCTTTGTATTTGGTTCACTGATCACAAGTCTCTGCAGTCTTGGTGGTCATATGTTTGTTTAAAGTTCAGACGTTGAACTTTGTGTAATCATCTCTAATGCGACGAGCCGCATAGGATCATATTTCCTTCAAAGTTGAAAAGCTTCTGGAAAATCTTCCGCATTTCCCTCCTCCATCTTCCTCTGCACCCGTGCCTCTTCCTCCTGCTCCCACACAAATTCAGCACTTCCCTGTCTCTGCTTTGTGCCATGCTGACAGCTGCATAGTGCATAGATTGTATCAGTCCCGCCGCCCCACGTGATCCATGCAGATCTCTGCAGGAAAGACAGTGTGTGTACTATGAATGATTTCAAGGCTCAAGCCCTGTCAAAGCTCCCGCGCTGCTAGCCGCAGCTTTCGTACATCGTGTGAAGATGCTGTTGGCCAACTTCGGCCAAGAAGCACCACCAGTACAGTTCTGTGCTTACAATATGGACCTCCTTTGTTCTACGACAGAGTACCCACTCAGCTGCAGGGCTCTGCAGGAAAGAAAGTGCATGTACCATGAATGACTTCAAGGCTCAAGCCCCATCAAAACTCCCCGGTTTGCTAACCGCAGCTTTCATGCATCGTGTGAAGATGCTGTTGGCCAACTTCTGCCAAGAAGCATCACCAGTACCGTTCTGTGCTTACAGTATTAAACTCCTTTGTTCTAGGACAGCGAACCAATAACCTGCTGCCAAGCGGTAGAACCACACTTCAGGCAAGATGGGTGGCCATTCTATGATAAGTTAGCATGACTCTTATTGGTTCAACAACCTGATGCAGGTGCTGGCTGAACTGCTGTCGTGCACCAGAGCCTAAGGAGCTGGCCAAACAGGTGCTACCATGTGTTGCTACGAATGCACCTGGTCTAATCCCTGACAAAGTTCATGCTGCAGTGCTATAATAGTGGAATATTTCCCAGCAGGAGTATTGCAACCAAACGGCGCAGCAGGAATGCTATATCCAAACTTCCCAGCGAGAGCGCTATAGCCAAAGTCCCCCAGCAGGAGCTCCCTGACAGGGATTCTATTGCTAAACTGCTCAGTGTGAACGGTATAGTCGAACTCCCCATCTGCGATGCTATTGCCGAATTCCTAACCATGAAGGCTATTACCTAAATCCTCAGCAAGAAAGTCGTACCTGAGCTACTAGCGGGCAATAACACAGGTCTTGACTGTAAAGAAGGTTGAGATGAACCTGGTTCGAACCTGGTCTGAACCAGAGTCAGGGCTAAGATGCCCGCAAGCTCAGTGCGCGGTCACACATGTGCTATCCCGTGTGAAGCTATGAACCTGGTCTCTCCACAGACCAGGTTTGTGGGAAGTTGGGAGATACCAGCGCGTCCTGCCTGGGCTGGCCACGCCTCTTGTGTGCTCTTGTTTCAGAGACGGCTTGCCAATGCCCGGCTCCCGTCACCACCCCTCGCTGCTCCCCCTCTCGGTTTCCCATCATCATAACGGCAGAAAATCAGGTGAAAATGTTATTCTAATAGGAGAAAGATCCTCCTGCCTGCCTCATCTGCCACTTCCACTTGGGCCGCTCCCCCTCCCCCCCACACACTCCTTTCCCCCTTCCCCCTCCCCCTCCCCTGCCTCCCGCCCCCCGCCCCCTTCCGTAGTCTCCGTTTCTTAAAAGCATGGTAGACAACCCCATAACAGACACCCTACACGTATCACAATATATGAAGCCAAAATGGCTGCAACTCGTTTTTTTTACAGTGAAATTTTACACTGTATAAAGCCAGTACCTCTACAGATTTAGGTAATCAAATATATTCACAAACCTTCCATCATTGTACCTCCCTCTCCTCCCTCAGTTCTGGCCTACCTATGCCCTCCTCTCTCTCTTCTTCCTGCCTTCTCTTCTGCAACACTGCTTGGACAGGAATTTGACGAATGTTCCCGCAATTCCAGATCTACCTTCTCCCTCTAGACGATACGCGTAGCATTGTTAAGCTGCACCAAGAATGCCTTGTCTTGGTGATCTCAGGCAGGGCATCCTTTGAAGAGCGTCATCAGCAGAATGGCTCCCTGCACCTCATCCGCCGTCCCCCCACACCCTCCGAACTCCATTTCTAGTAGCAAATTATTCTTTCCTTCCCCGTGCTGGTCATCCATCGGCATCCCATCCATGATTGCGGCCATTCCGTTGCGCTCCCTTACCTTCTTTTTCCCCTGCGCTACCCAGTTAACGGGCAGCTCAACACACCTCGAATGCCCACTCCCAGCAATAGACACCCGTTGGATCTGCATCGACTCATGAACGGCCGGATCGCTTCTCCCCATCATTCTCTTCCATTTCCTTTTCAAGGGCCCACTCACCATTGCCGGTGGCCCCTGAAGAGTGACACTGCTGTCTGCACTGCTCCCGACCCGATCACCGCATTCAGCAACCATCTCTCCTCCTCTGATTGCTGAATGCCCGTCACCACCGTGACCGTCGTCCTGAGCTCCAATGCCCGTCGCATTCCCGTTCCCTTCCTCTTTGTTAGCATCCAACTTTGCAGACGACACCGCTTTATCTGGCGCATCTGCCACATGACACTGACTTGAATAATTTGTCATTTTGTGATGGGCATGACCAGTTTGCGTCGGAAGGGACACAGGAGGAGGATCAGATGTAGTTTGTGTCTGAAGGGACGCAGAAGGAGGAGGATCAGATGCGAATGGACATGGACTATGTTGTCGGCTTGAACATTGACAGCCCTCTGTAGGAGCGGCATTGACATCAGCTTTCACAGCTTCCATAGACACAGTGGTTGCAATCGTGCCATCGCTCGCGTCTGTTACTGATGCGGCAGTCTCGCCGGCCGTTTTCCTTTTCTGATTCTTTAAATGCAGATGCTTTTTCGATTTCACAGCCGATCCAACGGTTGTCTTTCCTTTCCTGCAAGGTGCAGAACTCACCAGTTTTCCTCCTCTGCTGCTATTCTCCTGCTGCTCATTTCCCTCTGCATTTGCCTGCGCCTGCGCCTGCGCCTGCGCCTCCGCCAAAGCCAGTGCCTTCCTCTCCTTCTTGAATCGGATTCCGCACGCATTGCACAGCGACTAGTATACAATGGCGGGCCCAGATTGTACCAGAGGTCGGAAAGCGGACATCAAGAACAGAATGGACAGCCAGTGTGAAACATAATACATGTTAAGTGCCGGGAGCTTGGGATCGCATCGATATTACTTTAGCTATACCACAGAGCGGTTGGCAAACTGACAGAGATGGGAGATAAACCTTGCATCAACTTGACATAGATGGGAGATAAACCTTGCATCGAGTGTAGACGGGAGCCACCAAGATGCTCAGGCAAATTAGCTCTGAAGCTTCTGTCCAGTAGAAAGGAGAGGAGAGGAGAGGAGGGAGAGGAGGGGAGAGAAGAGGAGAGGAGGGGAGAGAAAAAAGAGATGCCAATTGAACCACCACCAGTTCTCCGTCTACTTTACTGCATCGACAACTTCTGACAGTGGGGGCGCACTAAGGACCAGGTCCCACTGGTGCTATGTTCGAGCAAATAAAGCCAGATCCTGGTCTGAAAAGCATCCAGGTTCTTCATCTTCTTTTAAGCACGAGCACGGCACCAGTGGGACCTTTACCCTAAATGTCCTCATGGCCACGTGTTTAACATCAGTAGCAACAACATGTTTGTATACCAAAGGGCTTCTCGAGGGAATATCGAGCTACTGGCGGTTTAAGGCGGCTACACATATCACTCAGTCCGTTGCTTCATATGGGGAAAAAAAGTGACTTGATGTCAGGGCATCTATGGCCCTCCGCCCATCGACAGTACTGACAGGAGGTTGTACTGGGCTGGTGGCTGAATGGAACACACTGTCGACTGTCGATCAGCAGGTTTAGAGTTCAAATCCTGTAGGCATTAATAATAATTAATGCACCCCGTCGACTTCCATCTCAGAACCTCTGCTTCTCCTTCAGCTTCAAGCCCTCCTTCGACACAGACCCTATCTCACTGCTACTTCTCAAACTCCCTCAGCCATGTATTCCGCACTCACCATGGGCCATTTGGAGAACAATCCTCCACACTGCTGGAGCAATCAAAGCCGTTCAGGGGTCCTTTGGTCAGATGGAAGGAAGCGGGAGGGCGACTTCATTGCAATTTTGAGTTTTGACTTGCCAGTGGAATAGGAACCGGACTGATGCTCCTCAGAATGGATATGGAGTCAGGGCCATAAGGACCCGTTTTTATCAGGCAAAAAAAAAAAAAAAAAAAAGAGGAGGAAATTCAGAGGAATGTTTGAGTCTTTGAGATGAGAGAAGAGAGGGTGAGTGAGATGTGTAGGATCCAGACGTCTGTACAGTCTATGGCACTGACCTAAAGGAGTGCAAGGAGGTCCTAGAGGAGGAGGGGGGAACGTGGTAGGAGCAAATAAGGACACATTCTATGCAATTAAACGGGGTAGGGGGCAGTACTAGGGGGCAGTTCTTCAAAGTACACTAGTATCACCAGCCGTTGATGAGATTCAATCAATGCACTCGACCACCCGTTAAACACCCGGCAAGGAGGAGGGGATGGAGGAAGAAAAGATGGGAGGAAGGAGCTGAGTAAGCAAAGGAGGGAGCACAGGAGAAGTCGAGGACAGGAGTAGTTACTGCAAGAGTGGGGGAAGAGGAGGAGGAGGAGAGCAGGAGACAGAGGAGTGATGGGGAACACATTTTTAATGTGTTTCCTCTCAAAGAAAATGAAAGAATCTAAGTGTCATCCTCTTTTTCTCATCTTCTTTTTTTTTCTTTCCCGGAGGATTTCAATTTTCAATCATTTGATGGCAAAAGTCCTTTTCATTGTTTTCTGCTCACTTCACTGCATGCACAAACGTCCTCTCCGCTGCCTCCAATCCTCATCGCTACCGTCTTCACCTGAATAGAATGCTCGGTCATTATAGCCGTATTTGGTGCTATTTTCAGTCCAGATACAGATATAATGACCGGGCGTTCTATTCGGGCGAAGAACGTAGTCTCTATTTGCCCTTTCCTCTTCACACGGTAATCATTCCTTTCACTTGCAGTCTGTTGCCTGTTCTTGGGCAGCGGAAAAGGAAGCGAAGATGGTGAGCGACCATGACTTGGAAGTCATAGGGCGGGTCGTGATAGTGATAGATGCCATTAGATGGGATGTGGACAAGTTTGAAGTTAAGGAACAGCAGTGGGCCAGAGGTAATCTGGCTCAGCAACTGCTTTAGATTCAGGTGCAAGCTCCTGTGCCTTTCCTGATGGAGCGAGGACTGACAAACTTTCTATCTCCCAGATCCGATTTCCCTTCAGTTCACACTTCAAAGAATTTGTGCACAAAGCGGTCATCCCACTTGCAAGGAAGACGCCCCCCATGCTCAACGTGGTTATACTTTTTTTTTTTTTTTCTCTCTCTTTGTCTTGTCAGTAACCAGGAAAAGAAAGAAAGAGTACCCATGTTCTGTACTGCGGCTAGGCTTATTTGCGATGATGTCAGTCATTATCCCGCTTGCAAGGAAGACGTATCTACACTGGCACACTCCATTCGTGATTGCCATGCCTCGGGGGCGATCTTGAGATACTCCCAAGGCTTGCTCTCTTTCATGTCAGGGTGTGTGTGTGTGGGGGGGGGGGGGGTTGATCTTTGCCCCTTTAGGAAGGTCAGAAGGTTTGAACTTCTTGGACGAGGAGGTGCCAGCCACTTTATTAGGAATGGCAGACTTTCGGAATGCACAAAGCTGAGTGCTCTTTTGCACCTTGAAGGTGACCTCTCCATCGAGGTTAGTTAGTCGTTGGGGCGGGTAGCCCCGAGTGTTGATCTTGATCTTCGACAAAAACGAAGGACTGCTTCTTCTGGGTAAACACCTTGTCGCGTATATTTTCAGCAAACTAGAGTATAGGTTCACTCAATGGCTTCCATGTCCTCTGAATGCGCCCGTGGGCATAGCGATAGCCAATCCTTGTACTCTTTGGTGGCAAGCTGGCAAACATATGAAAGGGAGGTTGCCCTCTGCACTGTTTTTTTGTTTGTTTGTTTGTTTGTTTGTTGTTGTTGTTGTTGTTGTTTTTGCGCAGGGGCCATTCTAATCTCTTCTCTGTATAGTTCCCATTTTAAAGGATGTCCCAAAGAACAATTTTTTTTTTTTTTGTCTTTTTTTATGTGTGTTGCACTGAGGGCATACTCACACCGGAACCAAAAGTCTCAAAATTTTGAGGCATTTGGTTCGGGTTTTTTGAGGCATTTGGTCCCCGTGTGGTCACATGGGCGGACTTCGTCCAGAAAGGATGAAGTCGCGACCCTGACACTTTGGGTTCAGGGCAAGTGCAGCGGGTCACACGGTCGAGGACCAAAAAAAAAAGATGGAATTAGAAAAAAAAAAAAAACAGAGACAAATATGGAATTTGTTTTTTTATTCCTTTCGTGCCACACCTCTCTGTCAGCGAACTTCCCGCTGGAACATGGCCTGATGCATTCCCTATGCTGCACCCGTTGGTATCCACCCAGGGGAACAGTGTGGATACATGGGACGATTTGCATGTATCTGCACTGTTCGCCTGGGCTGATGCGAACGGGGTGATTCATCGCGGGGAATGCATCCGAACTCCAAACGATCTCGGATGCATTCCCCACGATGAATCACCCCGTTCGCACCAGCCCAGGCAAACAGTGCAGATACATGCAAATAGTTCCATGTATCCACACTGTTCCCCTGGGCCGAAACAAACGGGTGGATAGGACACTGGGAATGCATCAGACCCACGAAACCAACCACATACATTTCACACGCATTCCCAACGGTTGAGCTCTTCGGCGGAGCAGAGACAGGCGGAGATGTGGGGAGAGCGGCGGAGGTGTGGGGTGAGGCGGGGGCTACACCTCCGCAACACACGACAAACCGCCGTGGATGTAGCGTACAGAGCTGGGTCTTCTGCATGCGCGTGGTGTGACTAGGCGACGGGCTTCAAAAAACCCAAATGCCCCAATTCCCGCCCCTCCAGTTGTTTCGCGCGCTGTCTTATTCGTTTACGATTTTCTTGAATTCGCGAACACAAAAAGAAAAAAGCGTTTGGTCATTTGAGACCACCTCCGGAGGTGGTCTCAAAAAGGGTTCACCCGCGGCCCCGCAGGCCGCTGACAGAAGGGTCACGGTTTGAGGCATTTGGTCACCGTGCCACCCCAGTGTGACCCGAAAAACGACTCAAATTTTGGGATTTGGGGCTTTTTGGTCCCCGTGTGAGTATGCCCTGAGTCTTTAACTTTTCGATCCCAGATGTGTTGAGATCCGAGGTAGAGAAGAGCTGCCATGCTTTGGCAATTAGTCCCTCCTGCAAGGTGCAGATCCATCGCCGGTTCACCATACCCTGTCACGATCGTGAATCAAAACAAAACATTTGGACTCGCCCGACGAGTCTTAAGAACTTGTTGCAATCCACATACTGCTACTTGAGCGAGCATAGCCTTGATCGCTGAACACGACTTTTTACTCAGCCAGGAGGAGTACATCTCTTTGATGCACCCTTTGGCGGCCTCGGCCTGAAGCCAGGCGTTGATCAATGTCTCAAGTAGGCTCGATAGAAGCCTACACTGTTCATTTGCATGCACCCTTGGTGGGGTAAAAAATACTAAAAATACAAAATGACCTCACCCAACCAAGTGGCAACATCCTGTTTGCCTGTGATTCTGAACTTGTCCGATCCCTTAGTCAATTTGCACCGAATTTTGCAGTCAAACATTGGCCTTGTTGCAGCATTAGCCTAGCATTTGCTAGTGGGTCTATGCTACTCTATAGCAATGGCAAAAGTCTGTGAAATGGAAGTTATCAAGTGGAGGGATAGCAGTGGTTGTAGTTAGAGGATCATTGCCATTCATTGGTCATCTGAAGGAAGTTGTGAATGGGCATTAGCTAGCACAGGCAGATCAGTAATCGGCTGCTGCACTAGTTGGTCATCTTCCCGCAACCCTGCCATCTCCTGCCGCTGGACGACCATCTCCTGCTGTGCTTTGCCAAACCAGGTTAGCATACATTGGTTTATTCTCCCTACCGTCTTCACTCGAATTGAACGCCCGGTAATTATCGCCGTATCTGGGCTG